GCGAGCAGGTGTACCATCTTGCTGAATTTTTAAACGAACACAAAAATACTAGTATCCTTGTGTGGGTCTGCGTGGAATCCAAAGACAAAGTCCATTGAGACAAATTTTTAGCACTCGGCCGGAATGGGCAAGGAATGCAACGGGGATCAAAGGAAAGGACTAAACTTCACCATCGACAAACCTCACAAGTCTGAATGTACTTACGCACGAACTGATATTGATGGGTCAGGAATAGTCGCGACTAACTGTGAGATATGTCTTCTCTAGACCACGATTTACGCCAATAGGTGTGTCTGGTAATCATACATGACACACAGTCGCAGATCACCGTGTTCTGGTACGACGACGCAAGGAGTGTTGCCGGCAACAGCCGATATTCGGGCAAGCCGTTTCAGACTGTTAATCCATCCGTGGAGGATCGATATACTTACGACAACTATTTGAAGCTTTTCTACGTTGGTTTTGAAAAATGATGCGGCAATAGCGCCAATTTCGGCTCATACGTCTTTCGTGTGTCGTCCAATACGGTTAACGACGGGACACTCAAAGTTAGTACTGTGACAGTGTTCGGACCAGTGTCGATTGGTGCTGCCGGTTCAGAATCAGGCTGGCGTGAGGTTGCATCAGCGACGACGTTAAGACGTCCTGGCTTATAATCAACGTAAAAATCATGCATTGTGAAGAATGACAGCCACCTCGCCACCCGCTGCGAGAAATGGGGATTGTTTACGGCCGTGCATAAAGAGGCGTGTTCCTTATAGACGATAAATGTTCTATCGTCTAGCGGGTATACTCTGAATTTCGCCAGCGCGTGCTTCCTGGAAAAAGGTTCCTTGTCATGGACGGGGTAGTTGAGTTTAGCTATTTGCAGCTATCATGACTGATAGCAGAAGACACGCTTCACATCACAGTGCATTGATGCACAGCTGATTGAAAAGTCACTGGCGTTACAGACCGCGTGGAATGGTCTTTCTTGGTCTGCATTTGCCAAAAATGGAGAGCGTATCAAGCTTTAATTGATACCTTTGAAAGGACGCTGACAATCAGCACTTCATGACCGCTTTTCATCCTTTTCAACAAGCGATACAGATGAACAATCATATCGGCGTAACTGTGTAAATATCTGTGCGAATACACCGCTAGACTAAGGAAATTCCGAAATCCCTTCACATCTGTATGCTCCGGCCAATCGCCGATCGCCTTGATCTTTTCCGGATCCGGCAGGACGCCATATTTGACCATGATGTAAACAAGAAGTGGTGTTTCGCTGGCAGCAAATATACACTTCTTGAGGTTTGTGTACAACTTGTGCTCACGCATCAGTGTAGGAACCTTCCGAATGTGAAGTCTGCGTGCTTCCACATCCGTCTGTCTATGCATATCCCGGCTATGGACGAACACATGATCTAAGTAGCCGGGATACAACTCTCTTACCGAGCTCAACAGATTTGTCACAAAGCTGTTAAGTGAAGCGAGGTCATTTCATTATTACTGATGAAATCTTAGCTACTCAAAAAGCATACCGATTGGGTGCTGTATACGGGATGTCCCTTTCTCTCATCAGGATCTGATCGAAGACATCCATCCGATCCATTAACTAAAAGATGGTGCTCCTTACCAATCCATCGATGATACCATTTGTTGTCGGTATCTGCGTACAAGCTGGTACCGTTGCAGCATCCAATTTGTTGAATGCATTCTCCGCTTGTTTCATGTGACTTTTTGCACACAGAAGGTGGGAGAAATATGGAGATAGCTCGCCTCCCTCACATGGGCGGCCTCTAAGCTATCTGAAAAGAATCTGTCGATCGCTGGTGCTTGTTCCCGAGGCAATGACCATTGCTTCATTACGCGATACTTCGAACAAGGTTGCAGGTCAATTTCTTGACGAGTACGTACGTCACTGCTTCTGGGAATACATCCCTGATTTTCATCAAATCATCGTAGAGAGGATTCGATTTGAGCGATTTTCACGATTAAGATATATATCGCTCAACCCGAGTCTTCTCATCAAAGACGATCTCTTCCATTAATAAGCTGCTGAGAACTCTTTCAGCCATGGCAAGGACCATTGCCGATCGGATATCACTGACGTACTCATATTCCAGGACGATTACGCAGACCTGCTAGATTTTGCCACTACGAATATCACGCAATAACCTCTTTTGGTTCAGCGGGGTAGCCGGGTGATCTCCAAAATTAACTTCGGTGGCGCGATGAGAGCAATTGTATGGCTACCTATTATTGATCCATCACTAACCAGGAATTTTAATCTCTACATTATCTCATGTGAACTTAATTCCACATTCGGTTGGGACTTTCCCCCTAGCTCTATCCTCGTTGGCTGTTTCATCTCCGTGATAATTATTTGGCAATCAGTTGATTTTGTCTGGGTGTTGTCCACTATGAGGACAGCCATGCCCCGGTCCTCTCGACTTATTCGAGTGGTGGGCCCTCGGCGCTTCCTGCATTGTTATGAACTCGCTAGAAACTTGCTTCACAATGTGATGATTATCCACATTGCGATCTTGTGCAGTCTTGCTTGAGACCGTACCACACGTGAGGCCATCACACTCAATCGTAGTGCACCCACATGGTGGTGGACGCTCCAAGACGTTCATCAGATCGTCGTCTGATGAACAAGCAGCAGCAGGCATATCTAATGTTCATCAATACCAGCTGACTTGTGGCTCGTACCTTCTTATCCGCGGTAAACAAAGATAAAATTAATTTGTCGTCCGATACCATTATGGCGATTTCATCATATTTGAATTCTTTCAGTGTATAGAAAATCCCCACAACACGTTTCATCACTGTTACGGATATACCTTTCGCGAGGCGTACCGTCATCTTCGTTGGAGGGATCTCGCGCTCAATGAATGTAAGCTTGCTGTCATTTAGCGGCTGGCATCGAACAAAGTTTTACGACACCCCAAAATCGACTAGGACTCGTGGTGACATGTCCTTTGTCACTTCTAGTTTCAAGGTAATAAGGTAAATCTCATTAAGTTGGATAAACCTCACTACTAGATGTAGTAACACGCAATGATTGGGTGTTGGGAGCAATTCTCGTCAAGAGGCCTGCAAATTCACTTGGCGTTGCTGGATCAGTAGGGTGCGTCACACCTAATTACCAATTCTGGTCTTCCGTTACAATGTTGCGTTTTAGCTACAGCGTCGGACCACGCCTCTGGCCATTCTTGGTAGCTTGACGGCTACTGTTTCCTGCGATAAGTGGTACCGCGTTCGAGCACTACATTCGTATATATAATACCCTGCCTTTTGACATCTATTGCATGTCTACAAATCTAATAACTGTTAATGCGAGACCTTTAACTCTCAGCGTAACAGAGGTCCATCCGTTCTGGGCCTCCATTCTCCTTTTGTCTCGGGGGAAGATAGGAATTTGAACTTACGTGATCTTTTTCACGCATGAATCTTTCTGTTCCGCAAAACGAATGACCTCTTCCAGGGTATAGAGTTCCAGTCGGAAGACGTAGGTCCTTACTGGACCGTCCGTAGTACCCTGTATGAAAAACGTAATCAACATTTGTTCATTCGGCGGATTTGCCGTAATGCAACTCGTAAGATGCCATATGTAATGAATATACGAGTGTGCACCACGTTTGCCTTGTTTTAATTTCAGGAGTTTAAAGCGAGCCCTGAAATTAGCTTGCGGCGGCTCAAAAGTTTGTCTAAGCAGATACTTGACGACTTCCAACGACCCAAAGACATATGGGTCGTGTAACTTAAAGCCCAAGGCTCAACTCTTCGCACGTCCTGCCAAGTTCGATTGAGCAAATGCGACTTGCATTTTCTCATCGACTATATTACAATCTCTTACAGCGTCAATCGATTCAGCAAACCATCGCAGTAGAGAGTCTTCATTGGATCCCTTGTACGCTGAGAAGTCAATCTTTAAGGCATCGAGTCGACGTGTATGTATGTGTCGATCTGGTAGCAGCAGCCTGCTGCTGTCTCAACAGCTCGAACTGTTGAGCGCTATGCTTTCTCAACCGCACTGCCTGTTGATACTCTTGTTGGCGAAGCAAGGTTACCTTTTCCCGATAGACATCAAGTTAATTCCGAATGAACTTGGCGACGGTGACGTGATGTTCGTCTGGCTCTAGGGCTGGCAGCATTGCGCCAACGTCTTCTTGCCCTATCATCGAACTCAAACGTTCGATGGCATCCCATTCTATTCGAATCAAGTGGGAGTGGCTTTCATGCGTGGGATGAAATAATCCCTTTCATTGTTTAACATGTCCATGGTGGTTGAACGGACTACTAAGTGCTACCAGGTGTTACGGGACACACCTTATTCACCTAACTGAATAAACTCTGCACTGCTGTTAGTGCAAGGGTGTGTGTGTCCGACTACCTCACGTACACGTAAGTGCAGAGGAATATTGCTATACGGATTATGTAACGGGGCACCCTGAAGCTTGTACTGGTGACAGTACAAGCTACTTATTCTGATAACAGAATAAGGCGGTGCCTCGTAACTTCACGTACACTCGTACGTGCAGAGGAAGACGGTAAGAAGAAGCGAGTACTTGGTTAGAGTAAAAAGTAGAACTGTATTTATAATAGTTAATGTCTGCAATAAATCACTATTTATCTTCATCTAACTATGTCTAAATACAAATGTGTAAATCAGTTATCTGCTCACCACTCATTGCGTGCGTCTGTCGTGGCGCGTCTTCGTTGGTTGATATAATGGCCTATATCAACCAATTAGGAACTACTTGGAAGTGCTACAGAATATTGTCCTTATGACAATATTCTGAGAATATAACTCTTATAGTTATATTCTATTAACAATTTCTTATAAATTGTTATGTGACGATTCACCCCGTTACATCACCCCCCCCTTAACCATCAGTCACTTTAGTGACTGATTGACTAAATGGATACTCGTCCCAAATCATTTGGGACGGGGTTTGCACTTGTTGGTCCGCGTCCACTTTCCAACATCTCATCGCATGGTAAACAAGCCCATGCGATGCGCGAGCAAGGCCGCCGAGAGCGCGTCTGCACGCCTCTGTGCGGACGCCGAAGCAGAAACTACAGCAACTGATGTCCCATCGGTTGCTGAATCGACTCAGCCTGTATCACCTGGTGATGCAGGCGCTGGTCATGAAGACACTCGTGTCTTCACAGAGTACGAGCTCGGTGTCTCGTACTCTCCTGATACGGATGACGGATCCGTATCGACGGCAATTGAATCCAAGCCGCCTGCCAAGCGTGGCATGGACGATGCTTTGCGTCGCAGCATCTTTGGTTCATCTGATGAGTCAGATGAACCATCGCCGAAGCGAAGGCGCTCGAGGTCGCGAGACTCGGGCGCTAATAGTGGTGTCGTTTCTCCAATGGACACCACTTCACAGCGAGGTGCCAGTACTTCTGTCGGCACGTCGCAGGAAGAGCGGGACCGCAATGTGTTGCGTCTCGCTCCAGAAAAGAAGGCATGGATGCCTCCTAAATCTGTCATGGATCACTTGTCGGCGACGACGAGTGATCGTTATCGAACACGATTGTTCGATTCGTCAAGGATTCATCACCTTGACCCCAGCGCGAAAGACTATCGCGCTGAACATGAGTTCTTCATCGATGCTTTCTTCAGACATCGATGGTACAGTGGGAATCACAAACGTGATGGTCCCTCACTACTTCAGGCGTGGAACGCCTACATCCATAATCTCGAGGATGTAGGTCGTGACGCTTGGAACGACAAACTTATCAAAGCTCGTGATAAGTTTGAAAAGCGAACCCCGACAGGTGCACGCTACAAGCTGCATCGTCTGTCAAGGGAGAAAGGATTACCCTGCCTCTCTTGGGGAGACTCGTGCCCATGTTGTGTGAACAACTCTGCACGAGCACCTAAGGAGGCTTACCTCCTTACCAGCCCGTGGTGGCGCGTACGTGTCTCTACTGAGATGTACGAAGGGATTGACAACCTGAAATCCCTTTACGACCGTGCCGGGAAGACTTTCTCCGGCGGTCCTTCTGCGGCACAGGATGTGTCGCGTCGTACTGCTCGACCAGACCCAGTACGTCAACCATCAATTGGGAGCGGGGCTCCCAAGAATCCCAGGACGGGGGATAGCCGCGCCACCGGACGAGGTAACTCGTCCGACGTCCGTTCACGTCGCGGTGGTTCAACAGCTGCTCTACTAGATAGCGCTGGCCACCGCGAGAGTCCTCTAATGGAGGTGTAGGAGGAGGAAAGACGCTCTCCACACGATCATGTGGATCGGTGTGTTCCCGAGAGCTTCTTTGATCGCGTAACGCAAGGGTTACGCGACGATCTCGAGCATGAGCGGAATAGGCGTCTCCAGATGGTGGACACTGCCTCGAAGCATCGAGCTGAGTTTGCCTTTGCTCAGCTTGAGAACGAGAGATCTCTGACATCTCTTCGTGACGAGCTAAGGGTAGCTCGTGGGATTGTTGATCGGTCTCGGGCTGAGATAACTGCTCTTCAGACCCTTGTTGATGCCCACCATCGGGAGCACAAGGCTCTCTGCGAGATGCTTGAGCGCAAGGGCGTTCTTCATCGGAAGAAGCAGCGTACTGATGGTACGGCTTAAGCCGACCAACGTAAAACGTGGGATGCGTTCGCATCTTACGTGGTAACTCGATCGTGTATGCATTGCCTAGGCGGTGCAATACACGAAATGGGCCAATGTACTTGGGTAGTAGTTTACTGCTACCCAAGTTAGTCACTACATGCTTTGGTAGATTAACCGTAGACAGTAGGACTAAGTCACCTTTATTAAATAAAAGAGTGTTTGCCCTTCCATTCTTGTCAGCGTTTTGCTTTTGCTTATCCACCGCTTCGGCGATGGAGTCTTGCACAAAACGGACTACCGTTTCACGAGCCAGTATGAACTCATCTGATGACTCGTTAGCTTCAGTGTGCTGTGAGCGCACTGCAGCGACAACAACCTTTTCTTCAGTGAGGGCTTCCGCACTCTCACTGGGATCATTGTCTTCAGTGAGGGCTTCCGCACTCTCACTGGCATCATCTTCTTCGATATCGATGTTATCGATATCGGCATCAAACGCAATGACTTCTTCGTCAGAGCGTGATGAGCGTGAACCAAATCGTTTTTTGCTCGCGCGAGTCCCTCCCCCCCTTAAACCAGAGTTGCACTCTAGTAAGGTGGGTACACGCGGATGGCGCAAGCCATTCACGTAAAACGGTGTATGTGTCGTGGACGCATGCACCGAGTTGTTGATGGCAAACTCTACCATCGGCAAAAACTCACTCCAACTCTTAAAGGAGTGTACGTATCCTCGAAGTATCTCTTCAAGGACACGATTGGCACGTTCCGTCTGACCATCTGACTCTGGATGATCAGATGTTGACATCTTCAAGCGCGTTCCGAGTGATTTGAACACGGAACGCCAGAAATCAGCAGTGAATCGTGGATCTCTGTCTGATACGAGTTCACGGGGCAACCCATGAAGTCGGAAGATGGTGTCAATAAAGACACAAGCACAGCCACTTGCCGTGATTGTCTCTGGTACAGCCACAAGGTGTACCATTTTGCTGAATCTGTCAACAAATACGAGAATACCCGTATTCCCGCGTGCGTCTTTGGGTAACCCGAAGACGAAATCCATTGAGATGGATTCCCAGCACTCAGCCGGAACCGGTAGAGGCTGTAAAGGTGCACGCAGTGAAGGACTTGACTTCACTCGTTGACAGACTTCGCATGCGCGAACATACTTTCGCACAAACTGATACTGGCGGGGCCAGTAAAAGTCTCGACTTACCGTGAGATATGTTTTCTCTCGGCCACGATGTCCTCCTATAGGAGCATCGTGATACTCGAACATGATCCGCAAACGCAGATCAATATCATCTGGAATGACAACACGTGGTGTGTCACCAGAAACGGCTGTATAGTACAGTAAACCGTTACGAGTAGTGTATCGATCTGATGCAGATCGATACGCAGACGACAATCGTTTCAACGATTCTCGAGATGGTTGGGAGAGATGTGACAACAACTTCACTATCTCACCATCTTGGGCGTATGCCCGCCTCACATCATCATACAACGTTGTAGATGGAACTGAGGACGTCATAACCGCAACAGTGACTGTCTCACTGTTGTGTTTCGCGACTGTTTCAAAGTCGGGACGACGTGAGAGTGCATCAGCGACGACATTAAGTCGTCCTGGTTTGTACTCGACCGTAAAGTTGTATTCTGCAAAGAATGACAACCACCGCGCCATTCGTTGTGAAAGGTGCGGACTGTTCACTGCCGTGCGTAAGGACGCATGGTCAGTGTAAACAACGAAGGGTCTATCTCCTAATAGATAGACTCTGAACTTCGCGAGTGCATACTTCATGGCAAGGAGTTCCTTGTCATGCACTGGATAGTTCCGCTCAGCTGGTTGCAGCTGACGCGACTGATAGCAGACGACGCGTTCAACGCCTTCAAGGTCGTACTGCATTAATGCACAGCCGATTGCGAAATCGCTGGCATCACAGACCACATGAAATGGCCTGTCCTGATCGGCTATTGCTAGGACTGGGGATTGTATCAAGCTCTGCTTGATACCCTCAAAGGAGCGTTGACATTCAGCGTTCCATAACCACCTCTCGTTCTTTTTCAACAAACGAGAGAGGTGTACAGTCATCTCGGCGTAATTGCGTGAATACTTATGCAAATACGCCGCTAGCCCAAGGAATTTTCGAAGACCTTTGACATCGACCGGCACGGGCCAGTCGGTGATCGCCTTGATCTTTTCGGGATCAGGACGTACACCGTTCTTACCAACGATGCACCCAAGAAGTGGTATTTCGCTTGCTGCAAATATACACTTCTTGAGGTTTGCATACAATTGATGCTTTCGCACGATTGTATGAACCTGTCGGACGTGGTACTTGTGAACCTCAACGTCCGACTTTCCATCCATAGCTCGACTATGGATGAATACGTCATCGAAATAACTCGGCGCGAATTCTCGTACTGGCCTCAACAGATGTGATACACACCTGTTGAACGTGGCAGGGGCATTACTGAGCCCTTGTGGCATTACTAGCCATTCCCAGAGCATGCCGCTAGGCGTGCTAACTGCGGTATAGGGTATATCCCGTTCCCGCATTAGGATTTGATAGAAGCCATCCATCAAATCCATGGACGAAAAGATGGTACTCTTTGACATACCATCAATGATTACGTCCTTCCTCGGTATCGGCGTCTGAGCCGGTACCGTTGCAGCGTTCAATTTGTTAAACGCGTGCACTATCCGCCACCCTCCTGTTGCTTTTCGCACACAGAAGGTCGGAGAGCTATGTGGGGAAGTTGATTCCCTCACATGGCCCGCTGCTAAACGATCGGCAAAGAACTTGTCGATCGCAAGTACTTGTTCACGAGGCAGTGGCCACTGCTTCATGACACAGTACTTCGAGCCTGGTTTAAGCTCGACTTCGTGTCGAATACCTTTATCCTTCGGTAATTCGCACGGAACAGTTTCAGGGAATACATCCTTGAATTCAACCAAATCTTCATAGAGAGGATTTTCCTTGAGCGATTCCCATGATTGGGACTCATATCGCTCAATTCGTGTCTTTTCATCTAGGACACTCTCGTCCATAGATGAACTACTGAGAACTCTCTCGTTCTCAGTAAACACTGTTGCTGACCTTATGTCGGTTACATACTCGTCTTCAGCGACGAGTATGCAGATCTGCTTGACTTTGCCACTACGCAGATCACGCAAGAATCTTTTATGTTCGAGCGTTGGCAACTGAGTGATCTCCGAAGTTAACTTCGGAGGCGCAATCAGATCAAGTGTATAAGCGCCTACACATGATCCGTTATTGACTATGACATTCAATGTCTCTGTCATTTCCTGGGGACTTATTCCCTCAGGCTTCGAAGGACTTATTCCTTCGTCTTCCCGGGGACTTATTCCCGCGGGTTTCGGGGAACTTATTTCCGCCGTATTTGTAATCTTGGGACTTATTCCCTTTACTTCCTCTAGCTGGGGTTGCGCAACCACAGCGAGATCCTCTACGAAAGACTCTCCAGTCGATCTAGGATTATCGTTTCGCTTAACCTGAGCGATCGATTGTTTCTCTTCTAGATGTTCCCCTCTAGGGATACATCTTTGTCCCAGTCCACCCGACTTATTCGAGTGGTGGACCTTCGGCGCAGCCTGTGTTTCCTCACAGCCGCCGGAACTTTGCTCCGAAGTGTAACCGTTTGGTACACTAAGGTTTTGTGCAGTCGTACTAACGACCGTACCACAAGTGAGGCCATCGCACTCACTCGTAGTACATCCACACGCTTGTGGACGCTCCAAAACGTTCATCAGATGGCCATCTGATGAACAAGCGGCAGGCATCGTTACTGTCCGATGTTGCCAGTTTACCCGTGGTTCGTACCTTCTGAGCCACGGTATTCCAAGGATGACATCAAATTTGTCATCCAAATCCAATACGATAAAGTCATCGTCGTATTGGGTATCTTCTAGCGTATAGTGAATCTTCACTATACGCTTCATGACGGTTACGGATGCGCCTGTCGCAAGACGTACCGTCATCCTCGTAGGAGGTGTGTCACATTCACTGAATTTAAAGTGACCATCTTCTAGCGATTGGCGTCGCACAAAATTGTTGGACGCCCCACAATCGACTAGAACTCGAAGGGACAACTTATTCGTCACTTCGAGTTTCAAGGTAATGAGTGAGATCTCATTACCTAGAGCAGCAACGCACAATGTCTGTGTGTTGGGAGCAACCTTCATCAAGAGGCCTACAAATTCTCTTGACGTTGCTGGATCAGTAGGGTGCTCCGCACCTACTGATCCTGTCCGTTTTTTGACGGTCCATCCCGTTGTTGCGTCTTTGCACCAACTGCGGACCCTCGTCCCTGCCCCTTTCTCATGGGTGGACGGTCACTACGCCCAGTGTCGCGAGACACTGGACGAGGGGCACTACACTCGTAAGCGTAGTGTCCTGTCTCTTGACATCTGTTGCATCTCTGCAACTTCTTGTAGCCTGTAGAGCGAGCCTTCTCGCTCTCTACATAACAGAGTTCCATCGGCTCTGGACCTCCGTTGTCATATCGTCTCGGTTGACGATATGATGTCGAGCTGGCGCGAGCCTGTCTCAGACTGAAGTCTTCCTGCTCCGCAATTGAAATGGCTTGTTCTAGTGAATCTAGTTCAAGCCGGAACAGGTGAGTCTTGACGGGACCATCCGCAAGACCCTGCATGAACACCGAAACCAACGTGTGTTCATCCACCGGATTGGAACTTATACAACTCGTGAGATGTCGTATATGTTGAGCGTAAGCGTGCACATCACGCTTACCCTGCTTGAGCTTCAAGAGTTCGGTTCGAGCTCTGAACTCAGCTCTAGGCGGTTCAAACGTTTGTCTGAGCCGCGACTTGAAGACTTCCAACGACCCAAACGCATATGGGTCGTGCAGCTTGAGCCCCAGTGCCCAAGTCTTGGCACGTCCTGCCAGATTTGACTGGGCAAATGCAACTTGCATATCCCCGTCGTCGATGCGACGCGCCCTTATGGCGTCATCCAATTCGACGAACCATCTCAAGAGGGAGTCTTCTTCGACCCCCCTATACTTTGAGATGTCAATCTTCAAAGTCTCGGGCCGACGCGAGTGCATCGACCCGCCAGCAGCAGCCTGCTGCTGTCTCAACAGTTCAAACTGTTGAGCACCTTGTTCTCTCAACAACTCTGCTTGTTGAGAACCTTGTTGGTGAAGCAAGGCTACTTTCTCGCGTTCTGCGTCAAGTTCATTTTGAATGAACTTGGCGATAGTAGCATGTTGGGCATCTCTATTGAGAGCCTCTAGCATGACGCTAACAGCATGGATGCCCATGGTCGAACCCATTCGTTCAACCGCATCCCATTCGACATCGCTCAAATGGGAGTAGCCGTCACGCGTAGCGTGAAAGCTTTGGTCATCTTCATCATCCAACATATTCATGTTGGATGTGAACGCGGTCCTTGGACGGACTACTAAGTGCTACCAGGTGTAACGGGGCACCCTGAAGCTTGTACTGTCACCAGTACAAGCTTCAGGGTGCCCCGTTACTGATTAAGATTACTCAGTAAAGGTAAGAAGTAGAATCGTTTTAGTTAAGCTAATCCTTTAATAAATCCCTATTTGACTTCTTTTGGCTACATCTTGATACAAACATGTATTGTAACTATCCGCGCACAACTCATTGCGTGCTTCTGTCGCGGCTGAACCTTGTGATGGATATCTCGATCCTTTTTCAACCAATAAGCAGTGTGTTACTTCTGCATCACATACTATTACTTGTTAGGCTAATATTGTGAGCATACAACGTTTGCTGTAGTCGTGAGAGATGAATTGAAAGGTAAAAGCGGTCGATTGGTACAAAGGAGCTGAAGCGGCGTGGCGACTAGAAACTTAGTTTTAACGAGGTACAATAGGTCTATGCGTTTTAAGAACTGCAGCGGTGCGGTAAAATACAAAACTTGTTCCACGTCAGTCTCACTAAATATTAGCCTCCACCTTGGTACCGCGACACTAGCTTATATCTGCAAACAATTCACGGTTATGACATGCAATGTTTCGGCGAGATCAAGTCAATACAAGGGGATGGACGCATCCAGGATTTTGACGGAACTGAAGAGAACGATCGAGGAGCGCGAATGCATTATTTGGTTGAACTCGTATTGCGTATCAAGACATTTCCCATCTCAGCTGACTCGCATAAACCGCACCGGTGATGCAGAGGATAGAAGTTGATTCAATGCACGCATTTCGGACTACAAGGCGGCTCGTCCCTTCGTCTTGCAGTGAGGCCGGACACGCTCACCACCCCCGGCCCCATTTGCCACCACCCCACTTGCCACCACCACGGCCCCACTTGCCACCATAGCCCCATTTACCACCACGGCCCCACTTGCCACCATAGCCCCATTTACCACCACGACCGCCTCCCCAATGCCGCTCCTGCTGGTCATCATCGTCGTCCATCGCCCCTGCATCGGGCTGCATGTCCATCTCGTCGGCACCGGTATTCGCTGCGGTATCTTCGGCAAGAGCTCGCAAGACAGGCGTCTCTGCAGCTGCGACACTCATTGTAGCAATAACGGCAGCAACAATGAGAGCTGTGAACTTCATTGTCGAGGAGTTGCTTTCGTGACTTGGGCTCTTAGTTGGTGTCGGAAGCAATTTGCGTTGTGAGTAAAATGCAGCTCGATTCGGTAAGCTGTGGCCGTCAGGATATAACGGGAAGGTAGCGAGTTCTTCGAAAAAGAGAGCTTGGGAAGCTGCACCAACTGCCATCAGGTCATGGACGTCCATCAGAAGGTTAGACATCCAGCCGTTGATGTTAAAGTCGATACTTTCGATGAGAAAAGCGACCCGTTCCGATGTTCGAAGCTTTCGCAATAGCAATCCACCTTTGGATCAATGCGTCGTAAATTTCGCTGTGACGGGGTTGACTATCGCTAAAGGTTGCTTCCAGTTGGCTCAAATGGGTAAGACCCGTGCTCTCGTTATTAGAAACAAGGTTCGCCTCTTGACTGACAAGCTCCTCTCCTCCCTCTTCTTAAAACATATTTGGAGTCTTCCCATTTGGTTAAATTTGCCTTAGTAATCCATAGCAACGATGCCTGGTGCGTTTGCGGGAATAAACACAACTAAGACAACATGGCTTCAGGAAAACCATTGCATTCTAGTGGCTCGTAGGCTAAATCGCCCTTTCACAAACACTTGACATCCATACCTGGAATGACATATGTACAATGTACATCGTTTGTGCGAGGGCACAGAGACCTTTTGCAAATCCGTGGCTTTGATTCGGCTTGTGTGACGCACATACCACGTACACGAGAGATCCGGTCGCATCATCTTATCCGAATGAGGGTAGCCGAACAATGGTCACCTTATTCAAAACTTAGCGATTTCTTAACTTGTAAAAGTTGGTTTCCAGTCTACAACTCTAACATCATAGTTTTGCATACGAAGTATTAACTCTAGCATCAACAGCTGGATATTTAACCTTCTGATGGACGTCCATGACCTGATGGCAGTTGGTGCAGCTTCCCAAAGCAATCTGTGACTTTCGAAGAACTCGCCACCTTCCCGTTATATCCTGACGAACACAGCTAATCGAGCCGAGCAAAGCCGCTCCGCACTTTACTCACAACGCAACTCGCTTCCCACACCAACCAGGAGCCCGAGTCGCAAAAGAAACTTCGTGATGATGAACATTGCTGTTCTCATCGTTGCTGTCGCCATCGCTGTTGTCGTAGTCGCTACTTTGAGCGTCGTGGTTGCAGACACGTCCTCTTCGCGAGCATATGCCGAAGATACCGCCGTGGATACTAGCGACGATGAGACGATCCTGCAGCCCGATTAAGAATTGCTGGACATAGACGGTGACCACCAGGAGCGGTAATGGAGACGCGGTCGTCGTGGAAAACAGAAATATGGTAGCAGGTGGGGCCGTGGTGGCGGTAGATGGGGCCGGGTACACTGATGCGTGTGTGGCTTCACTGGGACTAGTCACCTTTTCGCATGACATGCGTCCTTTGAATCAACTTCTGTCCTCTGCATGGCGAATGCGGTTTTCTGCCACCTTCGCTGAGCTGAAGGGTGTGTTGATTCGCTATTTGAGACAAAAACGAATGGTGCGTTCACATTCCTCGATTTTTCTCTTCGGAATGTGTGATAAGTCCGTCTCTCGATATTGATCCTTTATCTGGCCGAAGTATCCCAGGTCATGACTCTGAGCCGCTTGCAGACGATAGGCAATGTCGCGGCACCGTGTGGGAGGTTGATGTAGATTAAGTGTCTTAACTGCCACGCCGCTTTATCTCTTGTTGTTCGAATTGACCACTTGTAGCCTACCATACATCTTTCACGGCTACACATGGCTCATCGCTACGGAGTACACATCAAAGATAAGACGTTTGTACAGAAAAGTAGAGGAGCATACTCCTGAGTGCAGTGGTCGTCAATTATTGGGTTTTACAGTCGGTCAAACGGGTCCTGTGGGCATTTTGAAACAAGTCAACTGAGTAGATGAGATCAGCTTGAGAAGTCAAATACTCGCACGGAAGTCGTTTAACACGATATGCCAGCCGCGCTTCTTTCATTATCGTGCTGCAATCGCTACTCGTTAAATTATTGCGTGCTGCAACCATCGCTATAATCGTCCTTGGGAGCCGAACAAGAAATGTTGCAGGCTTACTAGAACTTCACGTGCAGAACTCTGGTTGTGTTGGGATTGAGTACCAGCAGTTGATTGTCCCTGTTCCCTGTAAATTGCTTCCAAAGATTGTCGTGTGAGCCACCAGTTCTGCGGTAATGTGTATAGGTTGACGTGAGTCGCAAGAAGTTCCTTGATGGTATTCTTGTCGCCTACCTGAATCTCGATGTTCGAGCGGTGTATTTGTCTCGTGTGGCACCGGCTCGATGCTGGTGCTCTGACCTTGACACGCATGATGACCGACAGAACTGATCGACTTGGGCTTGATCGAGTATGTAAGTTGATAGTGCCGATATCGCGATTGGGGTTGCCATGAGAAAGAGCGAGGACTGTACTGAGTCGAAGATCCTTTGTTTCGATGGCGGCAGCGTGAATGGTTTAAACGACTGGCGTCGTGAAGCCTCCACTTCTGTCAACCTAGTCCCCGATTACTCACTCACTTTAACTTGTTGACGGCCCGCTTTGTTTAGTTCAACATGGAGTCATTGGCTTTTTGTGGATGCCAATCGCGGATGCAGCTAATATGTTCGAACGGCTGCAGCTGCCAATCAACCGGAGATGGCCGAAGTGGTGAGGACGTGAAACCTCACTTTTGCTACAACTTCTGTGGCCTCCGTGGTTTTGTTCAATATCACCTCCGTGGCTCTCATGCACATGTCCTGAACAGTTTGAACGCTATCACTGCCGCGATGTTCACGAATATCGAGGGGTCAGTTTACCGATGGAGTTGGCCAAAGCTCAGCTGCTCTCATTTGACCGTCACGTTCATAGGTGCAATGAACGTCACAAAAGTCGAATCGAACCATGGAGATATGGTAGAGTCTCTTCCTCTCTTTCACGAAAGATTGTACGCATAAATCGCTACCACTCGACTTTTGAGAAGTTTATCGTACAAAGCGCCATCCTGTTGAAAGATGTCAAGTAAGCCCAACGTTTGTGGCAGGGTAATTAGGTCCGTCTCCAACCATTTCGACACTGTTTTTCAAGCCTGTTTGTCTTGGTTGTGTTTATTTGCAAACGCCACAGATCGAGACATAAATTAAAAAAATGGGAAGACTCCAAATATGTTTTAAGAAGAGGGAGGAGAGAAGCTTGTCAGTCAAGAGGCGAACCTTGTTTCTAATAACGAGAGCAAGGGTCTTACCCATTTGAGCCAACTGGAAGCAGCCTAGCGATAGTAAACCCCGTCACAGCGAAATTTACGACTCATTGGTCCACGTGGATTGCTATTGCGAAAGCTTCGAACATCGGAACAGGTCGCTTTTCTCATCGAAAGTATCGACTTTAACATCAACGGCTGGATGTCTAACCTTCTGATGGACGTCCATGACCTGATGGCAGTTGGTGCAGCTTCCCAAAGCTCTCTTTTTCGAAGAACTCGCCACCTTCCCGTTATATCCTGACGGCCACAGCTTACCGAATCGAGCTGCATTTTACTCACAACGCAAATTGCTTCCGACACCAACTAAGAGCCCAAGTCACGAAAGCAACTCCTCGACAATGAAGTTCACAGCTCTCATTGTTGCTGCCGTTATTGCTACAATGAGTGTCGCAGCTGCAGAGACGCCTGCCTTGCGAGCTCTTGCCGAAGATACCGCAGCGAATACCGGTGCCGACGAGATGGACATGCAGCCCGATGCAGGGGCGATGGACGACGATGATGACCAGTAGGAGCGGCATTGGGGAGGCGGTCGTGGTGGTAAATGGGGCTATGGTGGCAAGTGGGGCCGTGGTGGTAAATGGGGCTATGGTGGCAAGTGGGGCCGTGGTGGTGGCAAGTGGGGTGGTGGCAAATGGGGCCGGGGGTGGTGAGCGTGTCCGGCCTCACTGCAAGACGAAGGGACGAGCGGCCTTGTAGTCCGAAATGCGTGCATTGAATCAACTTCTATCCTCTGCATCACCGGTGCGGTTTATGCGAGTCAGCTGAGATGGGAAATGTCTTGATACGCTGTACGAGTTCAACCAAATAATGCATTCGCGCTCCTCGATCGTTCTCTTCAGTTCCGTCAAAATCCTGGATGCGTCCATCCCCTTGTATTGACTTGATCTCGCCGAAACATTGCATGTCATAACCGTGAATTGCTTGCAAATATAAGCTAGTGTCGCGATACCAGGGTGGAGGCTATGTTTTAGTGAGACTGAGGTGGAACAAGTTTTGTATTTTACCGCACATGCCTACTCACGTCTGTATACGTACAAACAAAACTTACCAGCTAGAGCTTGCATTACATCAGCGAATACTGATCGGAAAACACGTATGTGATGAGCGGTGGCTATCAATTCATTTAGCAAACCATGCCATTCACAAGTGATCAGTATTGTAACTAAACGTACAGCAATTTACAATTCACTGATCAATAAGTCTTCGATAACCGATGCTAGAGTACCATATGAGCTTCATAGCTGTTACCTGATGCATGTGCTTGCTCGGATCAGGTAACAACTATTAACGTGTATTGATTCAGAAAATGAAGTAAACCTCCGTGAGTTACGCGCCTAAGAACAACAACTCCTGAACGGAACATGCACATGTACGTTCACAAGCAAATGCGAGTCTTAGACGCTGGCTGGGTTGATGACGCTCCATTTCTGGTTGGCGTTGTTGGGCGAGCAACCATACAGCTGCACCTTGTTGCCTTGCGCGGGGTCCGTATCAAGGCAGAAGCCCTGGTGCTTCACGTGCTTCAGCTGGCCAGTGGCACTGTCAAACACCCACTTCTGGTTGACCTCTTGGTCCACGCAGCGGAACACATGCACGATGCCAGCGTCCCACCCCTGGTATGCGTCCAAACAGCGATCGCTACTCTTCGAGCGCACCTGCTGCGTAGCAGAGTCGAAGAACCACACTTGCTGCTCCTGCACCAGCCAATCGCTCGATTTACCAGACATGTACACGTTCCCTCCATTCTCCGAAAGCAGTAGCTGCGTACCAGCATTGCGAATCGTTCGAGGTTCTCTCCATCCGATGTTCAACTGCTGAAAGTTGCTCTTCATCGTGTCGTCCTCCTTGAACACACCAAAGTCGGCCTCGACCTCTTTGCCACCGTTCGTCACACGCCACTTGGAGTCGAACGCAACGTACCAATAGTACTCGAAGTTGCGCGAGCGAGCCATCTGGAAAAAGTCCGAGAAGAACTTGGCCTGGTTCATGGGAGATGCGGTACCAGCAGCAGCGTCGAAGCCACCCGAGCTCCAGCCTACCTCAGAAATGACGATCTTCTTGTTCTTTTTGGCTGCTACAATGCGCAGGTTCCTGAGGCGGTCCAGGGTCACAGCAGCGGCCTCATTTACGTCTGCTCGCTCCCAGAAGGAGAACTGGTTCACTGAGACGTAATCCACAGCGTCAATAAGCCACGGGTTGTCATTGTAGACGTCAATGACGTCCGCAATCGTGACGGGTGTGTTCTTCCCGCGGCTTCGGATGAAATCACGAATCTCGTTCATATAGCTGATCGCCGTGTTGGCATTGATCTCTTCGCGGTAGATAGTCTCACTGCCAACATGCAGCCCAATTACGTTGTTGTCATATAGACCCTTGTCAATGAGCGCAGCCAGCTTCCCCTTCTCCTGTAACAAGTAGTTATGGCTCGCAGTCGTCCAAATACCAAGGTGCACTTGCAGACCAGCCTTCTTAGCAGCTGGTAGTACCAGTTCAGCTTGGTTGCAGTCTACCAGCGAGTAGATACGCACTTTGTCCGTGACGGTCTTTAGAGCGTACATGTCTCGCTGGATTTCGGACGTCGACTTGCACCTCGAGCTGTCTGGAGCCCAATCCGGACCCTTTCGCGTATTGTAGTTGATACCAACCATCTTGACGTTCAAAGCGTCCGTATTGCCGCAAAGCACGAGCAGGATCGAGGCCACGGAAATAGGCAAGAAAACTTTCATCGTGCAGACGCTTTTCAAGAAAAGGTTGGTAGTCGATGTGCTGTTGGGTGGTAAGTTTTGCACAGGAAGGACAGACGATGAGGTCGACCGCTGGAAAAATTGAAAGTGAGCGACTACCGTGCGAAATGGCACCCGAGCAGTCAGTGGCATAGAAAACGTTTTCTTCGTCTGTCGTCGGTCGTTGCCGATGGCCGAGATACGACGACCGAAACTGCGCGTACGTTTCCTGAACAAGTCGTGCCTAGGTCGCACTCTCCTGATATTGATCCGATCAACTAGCGACGCCCAGATGATCTCTGGACGATCAAGTTTTCGCCATGAACCAATTCGCTGAAGATCAAGGGAACGAGTTTTTTGCATGTAATGGATACTCGCACACCATTGTGTCATGTGCTTGCTGCTTTTTCACTCACACTTCAACACTAGCGCACGACACATGTTGCAGTATGAGCTGTCGTGTCTGTTCAGCGGCTTCCCTCCTATCGCACCATCGTTGTGCGTTCGTGCGACTGTCGAAAGATACAGCAACGTACTGTCGTAAAGCAGAGCACATTCTCTGGCGCTCACCTCGAGCCTGTCTGTAGTATCGAAACAATGTGCTGTAGAAATGAGTTCTTGAGCTCGCTAAGTTTAACCGAGAATCAGTTCGCACGTCTACAACGTGTCGTTCAGCTACTCGTTCCTGCGTCTCACTGCTCTATACAGCTCTCTGCTGTGCGACGCGAGCCTACAATCGACTTCGCGCGGCTCTGTGATTCTTGCCAACAGCCAAGAAGTAGCTTTTGTCCTGGTCGAGCAGAAAAGAACGAAATCGACAGCACCTGTGCACTGTACGAAGGTTGCAGGCTGCCAGACTGTCAAGCACAGACGTGTCCCGCCTCGAATGCTGACCATTTTGGATGCCACGCAATTAATCGCGCACATCTGGCAATGTTGCTTGCATTCCGTTGCACCTCACTAGTCAAGCAACCAATGCATTGATACGAACAATCGGTTCGTACCTCTTGCAAAACAACCGCCCAGGTGTGTTTCGAAAGCGATCACGAACTGGCATGGTCAGGCTGTTAGCAACCATATAATGCGTGGTCACGTCGGTCGGCGTGATTGCATTTTTCTTGTGGCAACAACCAATAACTTTACCGTTTGTTCACATGCTTTGTTTGGCATTAGGTTCCCGCATCATTTACTTTCCTTCTGACACCTTGCTATCTCTGTTTGTGATCATGGGAGACGTACCTGAGATCCAAGCTCATCTGCCGAGTTTCTTGATTCAAAAGAGTGAGTCTCGTCTTCGGCACCGATATAGAACGAGTCACGTCTTCCTCTTCAGCGGCTCCACACACCTCTATCGTTCTTCTTCTTGCAATGCATTGCACGAGCGACACCACGACGGAACAGATTTCTGTCATGGCTGTCCCCGGCAATATCAGCATCAGGCAAACATGCAATACTCGACCGAAACTTGCAAGATTCTCGCAAATCATGAATAACTCAACCAGGTGCGGAGTGGTGTTAGAATTGGCACTCGACGGTGCAAGTTGTCGCCAGGTGTCCATCCATCCAGAACCAGCTTGTGTTCCTCCGGATTTTCCTTTGAATGACTTTGATTGTCCATCACTTAACCAATGGGATCTAAACGGAGTTCATTTAATGCAGTACCGACGTGGACCACCTCATTATCCAGCCACACCACAGCATAGACACACACAAAAAACACATTTTACCCTTGCGCACAAAACACTTGTTTCGATCCAAGTCTTCTTTTTTCTGACGATCCCCCACTTTTTGTAAAAAACGCTTGGCTAACCCGATCAGACCCATGGCGACCAAGTACGACGTGAACTGCGAGCTCCGCGGCCACGAGGGCGCAGTCCGCTGCCTCGCGTCTCTCTCAAACGACACACTAGTGACTGGAGCCATGGACTCCGTAGCGCGTATCTATACGCGCGATTCGAACGCGGCGGTCCGCAGCTTCTCCGCGATAGAAAGCGCAAGTATCTTTGACCACGAGCACTGGGTCACGGCCAGCGTGGCGCTAGCCAATGGGGGTTTTGCAACGGGTAGTATGGACAAGAAGATCCGTCTGTTTGACGCCAAGGGTCAGCGCGTGGGACTGCTGTCGGGACACGAGGGAGGCGTCATCTCATTGGCTCTCTCGGTAGACAAGAAGCTGCTGCTCTCGGGCAGTTGGGACGGCACCGCGCGTGTCTGGAGCTTGGAGACGCAAAAGTGTCTGCAGGTTTTACCTGGTCATGAGAATGGCGTCTGTGTGCTGGGGCTGCCGGATGGCTCATTCGTTACGGGCTCGACCGGTCAACAGGTGGGCAATAGTGTGGCCAACTTCAAGCTGCGGTTCTGGAGCAAGGATGCCTTTGAGCTGACCAAGACACTGATGGACCACCAAGGTCCGATTCGACAGCTGGTCTTGGTGCCTAATATTGGCTTTATGAGCTGCTCGAACGACGGCTCGATCAAGATCCGGACACTGGATGGTGCTGTAGTAGCAAGTATGGAGCACCCACTCAATGCAGAAGGCAAACCCGGCTTTGTGCTGGGAGTTTGTGTGTTGACCAATGGTCTCGTGGTGTCGGCGAGTGAGGACTGTACGGCGCGTGTGTGGTCGACAGATGGCGCTCTTGTGCAAACTATTGAGCATCCTGGAGGACTGTGGTGCGTTACAGCATTGCCAAATGGAGACTTTGCCACGGGCTGCGATGATAAAGTCGCGCGAGTGTTCACACGTGACCCAGCACATGTTGACCCGGATGCAGTAGCTTCGTTCCAGGCGGCAGTGGAAGACGCTCGGATCGCAAAAACGCGCGGACCAAGTGGCGTAGAGATTGAAACGCTTCCCGACTACGACCAACGTGCACGGGTTGCTGGAAATTCCGATGGTCAAATTCAAATGTTCCGTCGCGGCACAAAAGCGTGGGCGTGTCAATGGAGCGGTCCGTCCAAGACTTGGATCGATGTAGGTTTCTCTCGCAGGACAGCGTTGACTCGGTAGCAACTTGCTTATGGCGATAATGATGTTTGTGTAGATTGGCGAGGTGACCGGTACTGGCGGGGGTGGCGTTGTGGATGGTGAGGCGTATGATATGGTGATACCCGTTGAGATTGAGCTGCCTGGTGGTATAAAAAAGCTTGAGATTGGTTACAATCAGGGCCAGAATCCGTTCACGGTAGCTCAAGAGTTCATCGACAAGCATATGCTGGACCAAGCGTACCTTCGTGAGATCGCTGACTATATCACTCAACGTGTTGGTGACTACCGACCTCCTGTACTTGAAAATGACGATAGTGTGAATTCTGCACCTGGTGGCGCTGCCACCAATGAGTCTTCTGCTTCGGCTCCACGTTACAAGTACTTCCCCGTGGTGCGTACCTTTCGTGTAATGTCCAGCCAGCGAACGCCGTGTCTCATTGTGCAAACGTCGTCTATGCTTGAATGACTAAAGTCCGGGTACAACACCTTTGAAACGACCAAGGTTTTGAAGCTCATGAGTATAATGCGTCAGTTCAACGACAAGATAACGGAGACTCAGGTATGTACATCTGATGAATTATGGTGGTCGACATACGCTAAAGGTGGGCTCGTTGTCTTTCATGCTACTATAAATGAAGGAGGGATCCGTCGGACTTACCGACTCACAGCTGATAGCGCTCGATCAGATCGTTCACACTGTCCAAAACACGGCATTCTATCACAGCAGCACGTTCACCTCTTCCGAGATCTCCGCACTGAGAAGCGTTCTGGATAAGTGGCCAGCGAAGTTGGCGTTTCCAATTCTGGATCTTCTCCGACTTGTGCTTGTACATCCTCACGGTCCGGTTGCACTGGGTGCTGCTGGACTGAATTTGCTCGTCACGACAGCACTGAATTTGGGATTGCACCCAGGACCCCAGGACGGTGACGACGCAATCCCAGTTGCAACACGCATGCTATCGCTGCGCGTTCTCGCAAACATGTTTTTGCACGACGCGGCTCGTGAGGTCATTCTGGCTCACGAAGGTGAAGTGCTGAGTCGATTGCCGTCGTTTCAGGCCTTCCACCACAAGCTTGTGGCGCTCAGCCTTTCGACAGTTCTGCTGAAGTGAGTACTTTACTAACTAGCGTTAGCGCGACGCAATTCATATCGGATCTAACCGCATCTTGTCTTTGATTACTCCTGCAGCTTCGCGCGAGCACAGGTAACAGCGCCAGAGATGCTATCGTCTGACGATCAGGTGGTAGTGATGTCACTAGCCGCAGATCTACTCAACGGCTCGTACACTGTGCAAGAGCTTGGCGACGACACGATCTTACGATCACTCGTCACCATCGGCACGCTTGTACGTTCGATCAATCTTTTGTATCCTCGATTGGGAATAAACCATCTCTTGTTGACGATTTCTTTGTTTGTAGGCGTTGAATGGAGATGCCACGGCCAGAGAAGCTGCGAATATTCACGTGGCCATCTTTGCTGCGTCGAAAGCAGCCCAGGTGACGTCTCGGGTAGTAAAAGAATGTTTTGCCGAGCTTCAGGACATTCTTGGCAAATGAGTGGACAACGACGGAGTTGACAGCATTGAGTGAAGACTAACAATTGATACGTAATGGAGCTCCACAGCTTTGCACGCGTGGTGCCTTTATCTTTTGGCGGTGACGGCGTGCTTTGTTTTATTATTTTTTCTCATGCACAACAGAGCAAAGAACTCGTGGCTCACCGAATGTGCCGCGTCCCTATGAGTGGTAGACCTTTATGGTCTATTTGGCTAAAACGGGTGAGAGACTACGTGTATCTGCGTGCAAGTGGACTGCCTCATGATACTGCTATTTTTAGTGACAACACGGGTCGGCTGTAGCAACTCGACGTTGTTTACTGCTTCGCGTTACTTGCTATGAGGGTGATGATGATGATGTTTTTCGACGCAAGTCGACAGCGAGAGGTGAAGTGTGGCGTCTCCCGGATTCCGTTGTTGTGTCACGAGCCCGTGTAGCTTCCAGCTGACGAGTGGAGCACCAAATCATTGAAATGGACGTGCGTGGGAGACAGCACGTCTACCCCGAGTCGACAAGAGTGACTCAAGCTACTGGGCGTCCTTGGTTTTGACGACGAGCACGATGATGATGACGACGACGAGCATGAATAGCTGCAGTCCTTCTCAGCGCTGCAAGTTCCACTGGCGTCTCCTGGCCAGTGAATTGGCTGGAACCTGTTTGGAATGGCGACGGACGTTGAGCAGTCTGGTGAATTGGTCGCAAGATCCTTCTTGTGATCATTGTCGTGAAGGGTGGTCCCTCCCCGCTGCTGTCGGCATTGTCCACCCGATGTCCGGTGTAAAGACAAGTTGTCCATCAGACACGCAGTTGCGGTCACAGAGCGCTCGCAAGTGTGCTTCGATTTGGTTCGCTTGGCTACAGGATGGAACGTCTGTGCAAAGTTGTTGGTCGGTAGCTCATTCGTCTTGCGCTTGCGACTATGGAGGACTGACGGGACAGCTGCTTTGTCCTCCAGCTTCACGATCTCTTCTTCTCGACTGGCTTTCGCGCTTTCACCAACCTCTCGATGTTCAAGAATAGCCACAATTGGATTGACTGGACGCTCAATACTGACACCGTCGATGGAATAGAAGATCGGGGTATCTTCGTGCTGTGGTCGCGTTGAATTCTCCTCATCGCTTTGTGGCTCAAAAGCAAACATGAGCTCCTCGTCTTCCTCTTCTTCTTCTTCTTCGTCTTGTTTACGAAAGTCAGCGGGTTCGAGGTCGCAACTCATTTACAGGTATATCGAAAACAAAATACGAGAATCGGGTGACGACAAGGTGGTGGTGGATTCCGCTCGGACGGTCTGAGCAACCTGAGGCTTCTAGTGCGTCTTGCGGAATGAAGATGCCGGCCGGTTTGTGCTTGCAAAGCCCGATCGCTTTTCACGAGGAACTCACTTGCTGTCGATAAAAACGGCTGCGACAGAAGCGGCCAAGTCAAGAGCTCTTGAGCCTCGATGACCATGTGTATGAGGAAAACGACACACTTTTCTCGTGCAAAGTTGCTGCTATTCAGTGATTGTGCGTGCTACTTGCTGCAAGGCTGTGACGTTCAGTTGGTTGGGGTTTGACGAAAGGTTAGCAAATCGATTGGAGCGCTGCGCCGCTACAAGTACATGATGATCACCTCATTTGCGATAGCACATTAGGTTGTCAAAAAGTGATCAGTACTGGCTTCAGTGGGTGGGAGGGAGCAATGTGTTGGGATCGGAGCCACTCGATCTTTCGTGCACCTCCCACTACGCGGTTATTCTGCAAGACGGTCGACCACGATTTTTATTGCTGCTAGTGATACCGCAGTTTCTTGTTGCCTGACTGCAGCCGAATCGGCATCGCGATCACACTCGCGATGCACAACGAGGAAACACCGACGGCCGCCTTGTGTCCGTTTAGTTTTGAAAGAGTCGCCGCTATCTCTACACTGACTTTCGAAACCTGTTCGACTTGAGGGAATGATGCGAGTGTGCGCATTAGCAAGTCATGCTGGTTAATGTGGACACTAGCACAAACGCACGTGCTAGTCCTGGACCTGGAGAGACTATCCGACTTTGCCACTTAGACCGCTGGATAGTGTATTCGCTCATGTAAACATCGCGGTCGGCCCGCCCGCCCGAAGTGTAGACCAACTGCTAAGCAGTCGGGGGGGGGCTTCATGTTTGAAAACACTGTCAAATTCACTGCGCACTCTTGCCTATTCCTCAACCTCATGGCGCATGTACTGAGGCGGACGACGGTAATGATGTACCTGCGGAGTCTAATGTCGTTTTATCCGACGGCAAACATAGTGCGGATGATACCGTGACGTACACACAGCTGCTCAAGCGGATATTAAGAGATAGCTAATTACAGCTGCGTGCAAGACAAAGAAGTCATGTGATACTTGAAGGGAATGAGGAGTATGCTGAGGCGCTAAGGGCACGATAAGGTGATTTCATCACGGCTTGTCTAGCAACAGGAGCGCGAGTATTTACCCCTAAAGTCCCGATAAACTTGTTAGTGAAAATTCAGAGTTCGACCGCATCTAACTTTATCGCATGCTAAATTAGACTGGAGATTGATCGCAAATCTGGTATGACTTGGCCATAACGTCATGAGCCATGGGTTGATTGGAAGTCTAAAACCATAGGCGCATCGCGCAAAGTTTATACCGGAATTTTGAAGAGTCACAAACAACCTCTGCTTGATATCAAAAATGCCTACGGCGCGAGCCACTAGCTGAGTCGGTACGTCTGCTGACATCGTGATGTCGAATCCAGTATTTTCTGATGATTTCCAAAGAAGCTTTTCGAAGCAGAGCTCGGTCACTGATAGTAAAACGTCAAATACTTTTCGTTTGATGATTCTTGTTGTGATACAGAGTCACTGAATGCTGGGCGCATTGTTGATCCCAGAGACAATGCATCAAGAGCCATCGGCAACTGATATAAGTGTAGTGGCGAGAAAAATCCACAGATAAAGGGAGACCGTAATAGCTCCTCGCTGAAGGCTATTAATGACATTGTTGGCGGAATAAGGTATCTAGAACTCTTCTCAATTGATGCGCATGGTGTTACACCTAGTTTACTGCGTCATAAGTTCAAGTTAGTTCTTTTTTTGGATGTCGATAATGGCCTCAGCTCTCGTAAAGATGGAAAATAATATTGTAAAGTCCAACCTCCCTGTAGAACCGGGCGTTTCGACCCCGCTGATTTGTTTAGTTTTTAGGAGTAGAATTCAGCAAAGCTAGATGGCTACTGCAAGACGCAAAGCGTCTGTTTCGGCATACGGTGAAATCAGCGAACATTTGTATGCCCTCGTCAGACGGGTGACATGTGATGTTGGCGTTGAAGTCGGCTTACAGACCCTCCTCCCTTCACGTGCTCTAGTAGAGCTGGACAAAATGTCTGTGGATAAGTTTAACCATAACCTAAAGCCTGTTGTTGAACACGATACGTTGATCTTTCGACCTAGAGTTGAGTGGATCTCATTATCTCATTCTAGATGGGGCTTTCCTTGAGCGTCAAAAGCGACGCTCCATGTGATTAGGGGGACGTCGATTCTTAAGCATCCTTCCAATCCGACTACCCTCTGGTTAAGGAATATCAAGATGTGATGTGTCACGACCCTCCGTCGCTCTTATCTTCAGATGGATGAGAAAGGCATATAGGTGAACTGTTTACTGATTTCAGATACCCACTACACGGCAATACCCTTGAAATTAGAACAGTACGTCCTTTACGATGAGTTCTTTCGTGCAAGCACGCAACAAGTATTGTGTGCGAGTGGAAATCTCCACACTCTACTCCTTCCTTTTGTGTAGAGAAACCTGATGGTAAGCGAAGCATTTTTTATGCTCACAAGAACCTTATTGCAGCTACTATTTCAGCGCAAACGCCTCTTCGTATAAAAATGTTTTACTTGTAACGGGGCACCCTGAAGCTTGTACTGGTAACAGTACAAGCTACTTATTCTGATGACAGAATAAGGCGGTGCCTCGGAACTTCACGTACACTGGTACGTGCAGAGGAAGACGGTAAGAAGAAGCGAGTACTTAGTTTAAGTAAAAAGTAGAAATGCATTTATAATAGTTACTGTCGTCAATAAACCACTGTTTATCTTCATCTAACTATGTCTGAATACAAATGTATAAATCAACTATCTGCTCACCACTCATTACGTGCGTCTGTCGTGGCTCGTCTTCGTTGGTTGATATAATGGCCTATATCAACCAATTAGGAACTACTCTTAAGTGCAACAGAATATTTGTCCTTATGACATTATTCTGAGAATATAACTCTTATAGTTATATTCTATTAACAATTTCTTATAAATTGTTATGTAGCGATTCACCCCGTTACATCACCCCCCCTTAACCATCAGTCACTTTAGTGACTGATTGACTAAATGGATACTCGTCCCAAATCATTTGGGACAGAGTTTGCACTTGTTGGTCAGAGGCCACTTTCCAACAGTTCATCGCATGGTTAACAAGCCCATGCGGTGCGCGAGCAAGGCCGCCGAGAGCGCGTCCGAACGTCTCTGTGCGGACGCCGAAGCAGACACCACAGCAACTGATGTCTCATCGGTTGCTGAAGCGACTCAGCCTGTGTCACCTGGTGATGCAGGCGCTCGTCATGAAGACACTCATGTCTTCACAGAGTACGAGCTCGGTGTCTCGTATTCTCCTGATACGGAAGACGGATCCGTATCGACGGCGATCGAATCCAAGCCGCCTGCCAAGCGTGGCATAGATGATGCTATGCGTCGCAGCATCTTCGGTTCATCTGATGAATGAGATGAACCATCGCCGAAGCGAAGGCGCTCGAAGTCGCGAGACTCGGGCGCTTACAGTGGTGTCGGTTCTCCCATTGACACCACTTCGCAACGAGGTGCCAGTCCTTCTGTCGGCACGTCGCAAGAAGAGCGGGATCGCAGTGTGTTGCGTCTCGCTCCCGAGAAGAAGGCATGGCTGCCTCCAAAATCCGTCATGGATCACTTGTCGGCGACGACGAATGATCGTTATCGAACACGGTTGTTCGATTCGTCAAGGATCCATCACCTTGACCCCAGTGCGAAAGACTATCGCACTGAGACTAATTTCTTCATCGATGCTTTCTTTAGATGTCGATAGAACAGTGGGAATCACAAGCGTGATGGTCCCTCACTGCTTCTAGCGTGGAACGCCTACATCCATAACCTTGAGGATGTAGGTCGTGACGTTTGGAACGACAAACTTATCAAAGCTCGTGATAAGTTTGAAAAGCGAACCCCGACAGGTGCACGCTACAAGCTGCATCGTCTGTCAAGGGAGAAAGGATTACCCTGCCTCTCTTGGGGAGAATCGTGCCCATGTTGTGTGAACAACTCTGCACGAGCACCTAAGGAGGCTTACCTCCTTACTAGCCCGTGGTGGCGCGTACGTGTCTCTACTGAGATGTACGAAGGGATTGACAACCTGAAATCCCTTTACGACCGTGCCGGGAAGACTTTCTCCGGCGGTCCTTCTGCGGCACAGGATGTGCCGCATCGTACTGCTCGACCTGACCCAGTACGTCAACCATCAGTTGGGAGCGGGGCTCCCAAGAATCCCAGGACGGGGGATAGCCGCGCCATCGGACGAGATAACTCGTCCGACGTCCGTTCACGTCGCGGTGGTTCAACAGCTGCTCATTCAGATAGCGCTGGACACCGCGAGAGTCCTCTAATGGAGGTGGAGGAGGAGGGAAGACGCTCTCCACACGATCATGTGGATCGGTGTGTTCCCGAGAGCTTCTTTGATCGCGTAACGCAAGGGTTACGCGACGATCTCGAACATGAGCGGAATAGGCGTCTCCAAATGGCGGACACTGCCTCGAGGCATCGAGCTGAGTTTGCCTTTGCTCAGCTTGATAATGAGAGATCTCTGACGTCTCTGCGTGACGAGCTAAGGGTAGCTTGTGGGGATGTTAATCGGTCTCGGGCTGAGATAACTGCTATTCAGACCTTTGTCAATGCCCACCATCGGGAGCACAAGGCTCTCTGCTAGATGCTCTAGCGCAAGGGCTTTCTTCATCGGAAGAAGCAGCGTACTGATGTTACGGCTTAAGCCGACCAACGTAAAACGTGGGATGCGTTCGCATCTTACGTGGCAACTCGATCGTGTGTGCATTGCCTAGGAGGTGCAATACACGAAATGGGCCGATGTACTTGGATAGAAATTTACTGCTACCCAAGTTAGTCACTACATGCTTTGGTAGGTTAACCGTAGACATTA